CATTTGGAATACAGTGTGCAGTTCTGGTCACCACACCTTAAAAAGGATATTATAGCTTTGGAAAAAGTGCAGAAAAGGGCAACTCGAATGATAAAAGGGTTGGAACACTTTCCCTATGAGGAAAGGTTAAGGTGCTTAGGGCTCTTTAGCTTGGAGAAACGAAGACTGAGGGGTGACATGATTGAGGTTTATAAGATTATGCATGGGAAAGAGCAGGTAGAGAAAGAAGTACTTTTCTCCCTTTCTCACAATACAAGAACTCGTGGGCACTCCATGAAATTGCTGAGCGGTCGAGTTAGAGCGGATAAAAGGAAGTACTTCTTCACCCAAAGAGTGATTAACACATGGAATTCACTGCCACAGGAAGTGGCGGCGGCTACAAGCATGGACGGCTTCAAGAGGGAATTAGATAAGCATATGGAGCAGTGGTCCATCAGTGGCTATTAGCCACAAGGTATAGATAGGGACTCTGGGGCAAGTGATGCTCTGTCATCTTGGTGCTTGGGGGGGTCAACAGTGGGAGGGCTTCTAATGTCCTGGCCCCACTGGTGGACCTCCTGATGGCACTGGTATTTCTGGCCACTGTGTGATACAGTGTTGGACTGGATGGGCCTTTGGCCTGATCCAACATTGGCATCTCTTATGTTCTTATGTTCTTCCTGCAACAAGCTTGCTCTTTCTGCCATTTCTATTTGAAGTATGGAAATAAATGAAACTTCTTTTCATAACTGTATTTGAATGAATCATATTTATGTCATGTCATCATTTTTCAGATGAAACATGCATAGTTCCTTGAAACACTTTCCTCACCTTATTGATTTCTCATTTATTATTATCTATGCTGTTTTCCTTTAACCTTCTACGGTTGATTAGTATGAAATAGATTTCAAGCACGCAGAAGAACAGCCAATTGCTTTTACTAATGATAACTCAGAATAGAACACATTGGCAGGAAAGCAATTTTAAATAAACATTAGGCATGTATGTTAAATTCTGGTAAATCTTTTTTTTTAAGTTCTGAATATGGTTATCAGGAAGTGGTGAGACTTCAGCTCTCGACTTCTTTGCCCCAGGGACCTGCATTTGGATCGTTAATAAAATCTGCGATATTTTGAGGTGCTGTGTGCAATGAAATTACTGTTTAATCTGGCAAGATTCCAAGCCTTTCCATGGAGTCAATAAATATTAAATTCTACTCTAATTCTCTGAAACTGGAAATTCTAGGTTATGGATGCCGGGAAGATGTTCCTATTCAGAAGAAGGTGTTTTCTAATTAAGTAACTATATGGTTTAAATTTGGCATCAGAATCACAAGGGAATATCATCTGAAGTCTTCATGAGCAAATTGCCTTATACCTTGAGGCACAAAATACAGATATTTAATGCTAAGGTTCTAAAGCAATTCCTGTATGGTGTGGAAATTTGGATTCAGGCCACTTTTGAAAAAATGGATTCCTTCCAGTATGACTTTTTCCGACGCTTATTGCCTATTCCTCGGGCATAGCACTGAAAGTGGAACTAGGCGAATTATCGATGGAAGCTAGGGCTTGGATTAAAGCATTTTTCTTTAAAGTAAAGGTTTTAAAATCTGAGGGAGGATCTACTCTACTTGGGCATATCCAGGCAGATACACATTACAGCCAATGGGATCAGCTATTGAAAAAGAAAATGAAATGCCTAGGAATAACAAATGATATGATTAAAAATACAGAAACTAAAGACATTAGAAGACAAATTAAAACTGGATATTACAAGTACGTCTATTAGGGCGTGCAGGGTATGTTCGACACTTCATTTGGGAATTGCCCTCCCAATGCAACTGCCGAAATATTTTTATCAACTCACAGTCCCAAAACTAAGAAGAACTTTTACTTTGGCAAGACTGAATGTTCTTCCCTCGGTAATTTTGGAGGGCAGATATAATAAAGTATCATACTCTGACAGAACATGCAGATGCTCATATCATACAATCGAAACCATTGAACATATGATTATGGAGTGCCCTATATTCGATGAGTTGAGGGCTAATTTATTCACCTCTTTACTTAAAGGTATGGAACTGCTAAATGTGCGAGCCCAGGTGTCATGGGTACTATCAGATACCAATGATCGTGTCACCCTCTCAGTAGCAAAATTCATAGGCACAATAAAGAGAAATAATACTAAGGTCTTTTAAAATATTTTCTTTGGTTCTAATTTCTGCTTAATGTGATAGCCATATGAGCAGTACGAGAGAGAGAGAGAGAGAGAGAGAGAGAGAGAGAGAGAGAGAGAGAGAGAGAGAGAGAGAGAGAGGGGTGTGGCGGGTGAGAGTGGAGAGCAGTTCTCTCAGAGCTTTCTCGGCCCCACCTACCTCACAGGGTGTCTGTTGTGGGGAGGGGAAGGGAAAGGAGTTAATAAGCCACTCTGAGGCCCCGGTCACATGGGAGGATTTGCCCCGCGAAACGGATGGGTTGAGGGTGGATTAAACCAGCGCTATCAGATGCCAACATCTGGCAAGTGTTGCACCCCCACCCCCAACCCGTCCCTTCCGGCCAAAAACGCAGATCAAAAAGGTACTAGGGAAAATGTAGTACCTATCAAAAGATCCGCAGCAAGGCCGGGCCTGGGATCGCGGACGTGCCGGCAGCCTGTGTTATTTGAGGGACTGCCGGACTGCGCATGTGCACAAATACTCCAGCAGCCTTGGCTCGCCCGTTTTTGCCTCGCTTCCCCCAGCCATGTGATTGCGCCGGACAGAATATGTGCAGTGGGTTGAGGGAAGCGTCTGATCCCGATGCTGTGCTTTCCTTTGGTGCGGCTCTAAGAAGCCGCACTTCCGACGTGGCTTTTCCCGCCGGTGTGACCAGGACCTGAGACTCTAAGTGAAGGGCAGGGTATAAATCCATGGGAAACAATGCGCATGCCGTGGTCTAGGCTCCACGTGGACTTTCTCAGCCCATTCCAGGGACAGACTTTTCTGATCATCGTGAACTCCTACTCCAAATGGCTAGAGGATGTTCCTGTATCCACCATGTCCTCCACCGTCATCATCCGTGCACTCTGATGCCTTTTTGTTATGCACAGGCTTCCCAACACCATCGTGTCAGACAATGGGGCCCAGTTCACGTCGGTGGAGTTCCAGCGGTTCCTGGCCGACAAGATCATTTGGCACGTCACATCTGCTCCGTTCCACCCCTCGATCAATGGCAAGCTGAGAGGATGGTGCAAACAACACAAGACAGTCTCTGCTGGATAACCCAGGGAGACTGGCACACCTGAATGGCTGCTTACTTGCTACAGCAGCATGTCACGCCCCACTCTGCAACACAGTGCAGCCCAGCGGAGCTCCTGATGAACAGGCGGCTCACCACACAGCTTGACAGGCTGCACCCGGACCTGTCTCTAGGGGATACTCAGCAACCCGACGCAGGAGAGGTGAGAGCGTTCCAGCCAGGAGATATGGTCTATGCCCGGAACTACAGCAGGGACCCAGCCTGGGTTGCAGCAACAGTATCCAGGGCAATGGAGCTGGTGTCCTACAAGGTGGCCACCCCTAATGGTTGGAACCTACAGCGTCACCTGGATCAACTTTAGCGCAGATGGTTGGAGAGGGCACCGGTGGCAGTCCAATGCTAAGCAGTCCTGAGCCCATGACTGCACCTGATGTGCAGGAGACAGTTTTGCAGCAGGCTCCAGATGACCCCACAACTCAACTGTCGGAGATGAGCGGTGCTCAGGTAAGCCTTCCTGACTCCTGCACAGAGACTGCTGTGACACCAGAGGCATCACAGCTGGCCACACTGGAGTGTAGCTCACCTGCACCAAGCAATGAACTCAGACATTCCCAGCGGGTGCTGGCACCACCCTGCTACCTGCAGGACTATGCTTGCAACCAGGTGCAACCCTGTCTTAGGGGGGAGGGGGGTTGTGTAGTGAGAGCTTCAAATGAACAAGCATTGTTAGAGAGGCTCCTAGCAGCTACAATTCAGATTGGCCGCCCTTGCAGAGCAGTCCAGTCAGGTAACTACAAATGAAGTCTCCTAGGTTCTTATTGGTTTATTTGTATGTTGCGGGTGTGTTTGGGACTGGGGCTTTTGAATATAGTTGCGGCTCGCCACATGTGTGTTTGTTCTTAATGTTACTGAAATAAAGAGCCATGCTGAAACCATGATAGTCTTATGAACCCACTACTTAACACTTCTGTTTTCTCACTTCCCTGTCTGATGGAGGGGGACAAGGCCAGGGCCCTTTTTGCTTTTCAGTCTACCCTCCATGGAGGTTATATAAGATAATACCTGATGTGGAGAAATAAAAAATCCCCCCCCCCCATTATTAGGAGGCATAAAGGACAAAGAGCCATGAATAGCTCCTTTGGAATAATAGACAGTATGTTGATATTTTAAATGGGAAAATTATGTTTACATGGCACTGAAAAGTCTGAGGAAGTCAGCATTCATAAACCCATAAACAATTCTCATTTCCTTAGATCTCACTCTTCCCATTTACTACATTGGTGGTCTTTAATGTAAGAGGAGCTGCTTACATCCCCTAGTCTGTTTGCATACCATTTTTGCATACTCTCTCCAGACCTACACTCCTGATTTTCTTTTACTCTTGTCGCTCACTGGAGTGTAAGCATTGGTGCTGTGGTGCCAGCAACAGCCTGTTCCTATTTCTCACGCATTCTTGCCTCATAAAAATGCTTATCTGGTACTTGCAGAGGTGAGATAGAGTTGAGGCCCCATTGGTCTTCCTGTTTGACATTCTAAAGGACTTTTTTGTTTATTTGGAAGTTACAGCAACCCTTCCCTGGCCTTAGAACAGAAAAAAGAAAATGGGTCTTCCATGCTTCCAGGGATAAGAGGCTTCTTTACCTGCAGGAGTACAAGCTATTGTTTATTTCACTATAGTTAAATAATATCTAGATATTAGATTTAGTTACTTCATATATATTCCACTCTTCTCAAAGAGACTCAAGGCAAATGAAAAGCATGGATCCCACACACAGGTATGTGTACCTTAACAGCAGACTCCAAGCCGGAGCAGTCAACAAATCCTTGATAGAAAATGGTGGCCAGCCGTCTGTCCAAATCCTGAATTTTGATCTGGAAGTCTGCAAAATCTTCAACAAATTGCTTTGAATGATGATCAAAAATGAATTAGGTTAGCCAGTATACCTTTAGTTTAATTTTTATAAGCTAGTTTGTTAAGGGCACAATCCTAAAGCCCATCTGGAAACTGCTTAGGATTGCAATTAAGACCATGGGCTTTAGGATTGCAATTAAGACCATGGTGGAATAACATGGAGATATGTCAGTGCACCTCAGAGACAAGCTATGTAGCAGCCTATTGATACTACACCAGTATAAACCCAACACTGGTGCAGCTGCACCAACCCAGGAAACAGAAACAGGCAGTTCAATACTGAAATGAACTAACCTCATCTGCTGGATCTAAAGGATCATATTTACATTCAGCAAACACCTTGATAAATTCGAGGACCTCTTCATAAATTTGAACCACCTGGCTTCCTAGAATATTGCCTCTCACACCACCCAGCTCAATTTTCTCCAGTTTGAGAAATTCAATTGAAGTAACATACAGTTCCTGAAAAAAGAAAAGGAAGGAAGGAAGGAAGGAATATATGCCAAACAGAAATATAATGAGATCTGATCAATAGCATCAATATTAATGGTTTCAATATAATCACATTCTCCAGTTTTTATTTTAAAAAATATTATTGGATTGGATCCTGTTATTCATGTGATGCAAAAGGCTCTTCTGTCATCAGAAGAGGCTCTTGTGTTGATAGAACATCCTGTGCCTTAAAGGAATACAATGGCACCAATGGAACATAAGAAACGCCAATGTTGTATCAGGCCAAAGGTCCATCCAGTCCAATAAACAGGCAGGATTCAATGCATTGTTCATGAAAATCAATTTTTCTTAATGTTAACTATTACTGTAGCAATTCTGTATTTTGGGTAAACTAAATTCTCACCTCTACTGTTTTTAGTCTGTGAAAAAATGCATTCATTCTAGCAAAGACAAGGGTAGAAGGGAACTCCCAATATTGGGGCTCCTTGTCCTGCAAATACAAAGAAAAAGAGAGCCATGTTATAGGATGGGCTGCAGGTAAAAGGATATTTTTGGTTATAGCAGAATCTCTCAGTTAAATGCTCCAACCGGTATTTGTGAAATGAAAAGTTACCAACTGCAGTGCTGTGAGCAACAGTAGCATGTTAACATTCTGGTACTCCTAGGAGAAGCAAAGTGCCAGAGTTGAATATGAGTTTATCTGCACATACGTAAAAGAAATGTAAAAGGGGACTATTTCATTTGGAAATTGTATAGTTGGGATAAATGTAATTAAATAATCTCCCACTTTAAATTGGATGAATTATATATAATGTTTGCATTAGGAAGCTCTGAATAATGTTTCCTTTAAGAAAACTGTGCAGTGGCGGCAGTAACTAACCTGAAAAAATGTGGGCATCATATCTGAGCAGCAAATGTCATAGGTCTTGTAGAGTTTCTCTATCACAGAGATTCCCAGCTTGATCCCTCCCAGTACTTCTTCAATCTCACTTTGTAAGCCTTTCAGTACCTCTTCAGGACTTAGAAAGTTACGTGTCTAAATAGAAAAAGAGGCAATCAAAGACAATGCAGAGCATGTTTAAAAAACGCAGAGCCTTTTAAAATTTAGCACTATAAAGACATGTTATGATGGGTTGATTCTTTGCTGATAGTCATATCACTTTCATCAGTTAGCAGCCAAGGAAGTTTCAACATGCCTGTTACACTGCTTCTATTTAGTTTTTTGGTTCTGCTTTTTTTAATAAAAGAAAATGAAAAATAGTAAGGATTCAAGATGTGCTAATTAGCTGCCTTTTACCTGCTCATTGTGTCATTACCTGGAACGTGTTCACCACAATAGATCCCTTCTTCCCAAGTTATTAGTAGTTATTCCAGCTGCTCCTCTACCTTCAAATGTACTTCTCCAGTGAAAGGGCAATACCATTCAACTTCCACAGACCTGGCAGGCTGAGCAGTGGAAATGGCCAGGGAGGTCGTAACCTATACTATTGTCTTCCAATCCTAACTTGGGCATTCTGACCCCTCTCTCCTTCCTCCATTGCTAAAACAGAAGTGCTGGCAGGTAACAGCTGCAATGGTTCCTGAGCCCAAAGGAGTAATTGACATAGTCCCTTCCTGCACTGACAGCTTGCTCTGGAGAACCCGAGGAGATAAGTATTTATTTATTTATTTATTTTATACCCCGCCCTCCCTGCCAAAGCAGGGGAATTGACTTCACAGTCACACACATTCCCTCTGCACTGATTTTCCTCCCTCGTTTATTTATTTGTGTATTCTGTATGCATTCTGCATCTACAAGCAAAACCCACATTTTTGGAGCTAACTGGCTGTTTTGTCTAAGATGAAGAGAAAGGCGAACATCTTTCAAAACTTTTAACTGCAGACCCAACTCCTCCCTCCCTCCCTCCCTCCCTCCCTCCCTCCATGATTCTGCAAAAGAAAAGGAAGGGAGGGGGAAATCCAGGGCCACACATCCACGACTGCGACGGAGGACACGTCCTTTTTTGTCTTTGGAGAAGGAGGGAAAGAAAACAGAACACAGAGGGAGCGTCAACCTAAAGAGAGAGAGATGGAAACTGGGGAGGGCAGTGGGCGGCACTTAAATACCCACAGAAATAATTCTACTTTAGAAAGGATTTGCGGTTCAAAAGTGCATGAGAACAAAGAATCTCAGCAAAAGGAGTTTTGGTAACTGCAGGGCAACAGTGTGCTGGAAGTGGTCTGAATGCAGATTCCTGTAAAACAAATGTAGAAACAAGAAAAAGCCCTGACACAAACCAGAAGTGAAAGCAGGAGGGAATGTGGTACAGAAGAATAGGATGTGCTCAGAAACCAAGGCAAAATACAGGTGCAGAAAGGGCCATACTTTCTATTGCCTTCATGGGATCAGGACTGCAAGGAATGAGAAAGGCAAATGCACTTAGGGTCAAACTACATATAACATTAAAAGGCACCCTTGGTTGGGGGGATTTGGAGCAAATGCAAGGACAGGCTAAAAACAACAACCCTCCTCACCATTTCCAAGAAACCAACCCCCAGAGCTGCTATTGTGTGTGTGTGTGTGTGTTTGTTAGGAGTCTGTATTACCTGTCAGGCCACCTGTGCCTTCTGTAACTCTGAAGAATACACTGGATGATCCAATCACGGATCTCTCATTGAAAGTGCAATTTGCCCCTTAGTGGGACCAGTCATTGGAAATCGTTCTAATAGCTCTCCATGGGGATATGTGTGTCTGGGGTCTGCTTCAGACCTATCTTTCTGTTAGACGGAGAATGCCCATGGAAGCAGTAGAATGGTGGGTGACTGTGCCTGTCTGTACGGAATCTGTGGTGAATGTGGTGTCCCTCTAATGATATAACCCACAGTGGTCACTACCCTTTTGCTCTCTGCCATATGTGATGACAATGAAATATGATCTGTTTTTAAATTTTTATCACCCTCTCAATGTCTGTGGTACAAAAAGAGCTGAAAGTATATTTGAGCATCCTGGATACCAAAAAACAGGACACATAATGATAAAAACCCTCCTCAATTGAGGGCTATATTTTCATAAAACAGTACCATTTCAATGACGAGGTTACAGATCTCCTGCAAAATGACAATGATCCGGGATGGAGTATTGTAGTATTCAGAGTTGGCCCAGATCAAGCATATGGTGTACATAACACTGTTGATGAATGGGGGCAGCTGTGTGGACACAAAAATTTCATTCAGTTAGGGTTGCAGGAAAGTCAAATATACATACAAGATATGACATTTAACTTGCTGCCCATCAATAGCTGATTATCTTGTTTATAACTTTACTCAGGGCCAAACTACACATTACAAGTTACAATGCAGCTGCAAGTATCCAGTGACAATTCCTTTTAGAAGTGCTGCAGGGGCTTAATTCTGATCAGGACTACAGCATGGGGGGGGGGGGAGAGAGGCTTGTTTCTTTCTTCTCCTGCTGTTTTCCTGAGCCAAAATGGTATGTGGAAGGCAGGAGCTACTCCCCCCCTTTACTTGGCCCCGCCCCCTTTACTGAACTGGACTCCTATGCCACTTCTTAATGAAATTGCTACTGGGAACTTACAGCTGCAGTATGTCTGCTAGTCCCTTTGGTGAGCTCGTATAATTTGGTAACGTGTACTTTTGCCTTCAAAGTACTTACTTTTCCTCAGTCTGGAGAACAAACCCGCTGATAAATATTGTCACTAGCCTCAACTGTCAGGTTACCAGAAGTTCAATGGAGTTTATTGAACTATTACAGGCCTATTACCCATCTGTGTTTTCTGTTGCTTTCAGTGTATATGTCCATTGTGCTTTTTCCCATTTCTGCATATGATTTCCTCCCTTTAGTGCTCACTTCGCTTTCTGTTCCCATTCCCCCATGTTTTCTGCGAGCACTGTTATGGCAATTTTTTTTGTTTCCTCCAAGTCAAAGTGTATCCAAGAGTATAATGATTTCATCAGGTTCCCCCCCAGCGCTTTGCTGCCCCTTGACCCCTACTCCCCTGCCAACATCAAAGTTGTTCTGCTCATTCAACCACCTTCCACCATCCCCCCTTCTTCATTGCCATACAACCACCATTTTTAATTATTTCCTCCATAGTTTTAAATGTTTGATTTAATGGTACAAGACTAATGATAAAGTGCTAATCAAGAGTTTAAATCCCCATAAACCAATGTCCAGTGTAGTAATCCTATGTGCAGTTATTATGGGGTTAGAGGGCCATTGAACTCAGGACTTACTTCTGAGTAAAGGTGCACAGGATCAGAGTACTGCACACCTTTTGCTTCCAGCATCTCCCTTATCCTTATTTGCTTCCAGCATCTCCCCTTTCCCTTGTATATCTTCTTGAGGGAGCCAGAGTCTGCCTTTAAAAAACCTCAGGGTGGAGGCTTTAGAAAGCAAGTGGGTTGTGAGTGTGTGTGTTTGTGTGTGCGCACGTGATTATCTTGGTACCATCTGCCTTAAAGAATGGGGGGGGGGGTATTTGCAGTGCCTAGCGGTGGCTTCATTCAAGGCATTCTTGTTCACCCTTTTCAGGTCCGGTGCCAGGTTTTTTTGCACACTCCGTGAGGCTACCTTCTGGCGCCCCCCCCCCCCCAGTGTGCTCCCCAATTTTCAAACATAAATGAATTTTAAGAAGAATGAAAAACAGAAAATTTGGAATTGCTAATTTCTTTTTTTTAATTGTGAGAACAAGTAATAAAATCTCTGATATTCTCTCTCAAACAGAAAACACAAATCACAAAGCATTTTGAAAAATCCTGTTAATTGTGATGTTGAAATTTAAGTCTCTTTAATGTTTCCATTTCAGGCACATCAGACACAAACCTCACACACACACACCAGGGCACTCAATGGGTCACAAGTCTGTGCATGTTAAATGATGCATTTAAAAATCACATCATTTTACTTTAGATTAATCCATAAGCAAGCTCAAGGTCAACATGTGCTGACTGGTTTGCAAACAATCCTCATTCTTATCAGTTAATAAGACGTGGATCTGGGAGACTCAGGTTTGAATCCCCTCTCTGCCATGGAAGCTCGCTGGGTGACCTTGGGTCAGTCACACGCTCCTGTGAGACTGGTTAGTAGAAGAGAGCATGACTGGCCCATGCTATGAGAGCCATTACATGCAATGCCATCCTAAGCAAAGTTACTCCCTCCTAAATCCACTGAAGTCAATGGGCTTAAAGAGTAGAACAAAGTTTGAGTCCAGTGGCACCTTTAAGACCAACAAAGTTTTATTTGAGGTATTTATTTATTTATATACTGCCCTCCCCATGGATGGGGCTCAGGGCGGTTTACAATAATCTCAATCTAGTACCATTAAAACAACAATTAAAATAACAATTTAAAATAATAAGACCATAAAATACCAGTCAAACAAGATTAGTTAGCCTTCATGTGCACACACACTTTTTCAGATGCAGTGAAACAAAACTTCAGCCATTACATCTAGGTAGAGAGGGGGAGCAGTGTTAGAAAGGCTAGTTAGAGTCAAGATGCATAAGTAACTGGGTGACCATATGTAATGGCTGAAGAAGTTTTGTTTCATTGTATCTGAAGAAGTGTGCTTTGTACACAAAAGCTTATACCTTGATTAAAACTCTGTTGGTCTTAAAGGTGCCACTGGACTCGAACTCTGTTCTGCTGCTTCAGACCCACACGGCTCCCCACCTGGGCTTAAAGGGTGTAACTCTGCTGAGGATGGCACTGTGGGCCCCGTTTAAGTAGAGAAGGACCTTCCCAACTGGATCTCTCTAACTCCAGCATGCTCAGTTGTCTTTTTCTATTCTACATGCATAATCTGTAAAGCATCCTACAGGAAGGGGGGGGGGTGCATTTTGAACATTGTGGCCTAAAAATGATGAGGGCTGTGTGGCGTCCTTCCTATTGGGGCGGACTGTTTTTCCTACTCTGTGATGTGCTTGCTTATAGGGGAAACGGTTTTTCCTTTAATTCACACTTTGTGTATATAAACTTGGTAGTTTCTGCTGTCACCAGGAGTTAAAAATTCCAAAGCTCTCTCCTTTGGTAGTGTAACCCAGGGTCTGGGCACTTCAGAGGACTATGTGGCCCTGAGGAAGAACTGTACTGAATACTGGGAATCCTCGTGCCGCCTTCCCGTACGCAGCACCTGCTGGTGGCACCCTTACAGTGGGGGCGGTGAGCAGCAGGAGGCGTCAGCAGCGAAAGAAGCTGTTGGGGCGTGGGCTGCTTCGTCACGGCTTCCACCTCCTGGTCCGGCCGGCCACTCCGCAGCACAGCCGTGCGCTCTTGGTCAGGCGCGGGTGGGGAGTTCCTGCTGGTGCTGCCAGTACGGCGCAGGGGCAACTTTTCCTTTCCCCCTCCGGGTTCCCTTTGCTGGGCGGCTTCTCAGCTCGCCTCCTGGAAGGGTTAAGGGAGGGAGGGAGGCCAGCGGCTGGTGGTCCCGTGAACTTGCCGTTCTAGGCAAGTGCGTAACTCAGGTATATGGAAGTTCCGCCCCGGCCCTTTTATCTATATAGTCACTTTGTCAGGATTGTAGCTAATTAATTTCAAGTCTCTGCCCTGCAGTGGGGGATCCCCAATTTGTCTCCACACCTAAACACAGCATTTTTCATTTGTTCAGTTAACGTTTTGCAGGCATAACTCACTAAGCCTCAACACAAAGTGACTTGGTGTAAAGTTGGAAATGCTCTTGCACTGAGGATTTTTTATTATTATTAAGGACATGGCAGTGAAATTAGTGGGTAACACATGTCAGCACTACCAAGATGGTAACCAGCGAATAAGCACAAATGAGAGAATATCAAGGAGAAATGGTGAATATTTTCAAAAAAGGATCTCAAAGCCAAAGTGTCCAATCAGTGAACTAATGTTAAAGTGCACATGCAAACACTGAGCACCAGGAACTTGAATAGAAGGGTTTAACTTAATGCCACTGTGCAGTTGTGATATAGCGACTGTGCAGAGCAAAAATAGAAACAAAAGTAGTTCAGCCCCACCACCACGACAAGTGACGTCCCTGCCCTAAGTAGGGAAAGTCCATTTTTTTGTTTTTGGCTGCAGAATAGCAGCACTGTTCAAAGGGTGAATGTAATGTATCCAGTCCATACAAGTCCAAAGACAAATGTCGAGCTTCGCTCCAAGAGACAATGGACTATGCGGATCCTAGCCCGCTCCAATCAGGGGGCTAGGTTCCCGGCAGGGAGCCTATGGGACTCTCGGCCACTGTAAATAACCTATAGGGAAGTAGGGGTGTGTTTTGGGTGGCGGTTTCTTGGGGGATATAAGCCGGCCCGCGAGCCGGCCAAAGTTGTCTTGTTCCGGATAGAATAAAGTACGCTTTGCTGAAATCACTCTCCGTTTGCATACTTTTCAGTGAAGCTAGCTTAAAGATCATGGGGATGGAACATTTGTGAATACAGTTTGTACATACATAGGTGTAGTGGGCAAGTGTGCATAGACAAAGGGAAGCGTCTAGGCACTTTGCTCCACTGCCCACTCTGCACGCTTTGCTTAGGTTGCCAGGTCACCTCACCGCAAAGGGGGGGGTGTTTGAGGGGCATTCCAGGACATTGCCGATCCGATGATGTCACCCAGAAGTGATGTCATTGCATCGGCGATGCCACATGGCAATGCTCTGGTTTAAGGGCAAAACTCTACGGTCTTAGGCCAATTTTAACATAGAAGTTTGCCCTCAAACCAGAGCATCGTATGCAATGTCCCTGATGTGATGACGTCACTTCCGAGTGACATCATCACATCAAGAATGTCATGCCGGGATGTAGCTGTTTGGGGGTGGGGTTTCCCCTGCTGGCCAGGTGGCTGGTGGCAGGCAGAAGCCCCAAAAAGCAGGGGAACCCCCACTGGGACATGGGGACTGGCAACCCTATGCTTTGCCCTGTGGTCAAGTCATGGGCTCAGGCAGGGCTTTTTTTGTAGAAAAAGCCCAGCAGGAACTCATTAGCATAATAGGCCACACCCTGACAGGGCAGCTCATTAGCCTATTAGGCCACACCCCCATGCCTTCCCTTGGCTTGCCTGGGTGCTCTGTGACTGCAGGGAGCCCAGGCAAGCCAGCCCTTGGACAGGCCGGAGAAGGCACAGGGAGGCATTTAAATGCCACCCCGATCCTTCCAGGACCACCCCTGGCCCACCCGCCTCGGAGTCGCCAGCGAGGTTGCTCTCCAGGCCTTCCCTCTGTAACCATGTACCCAGAGGTTTTGGCTGTAGTGGGCGTGGCCAACTCTGAAGCCAGCCGGAACTCCGTTCCTGTGCGTTCCTGCCCAAAAATAGCCCTGGAGGGTTATCGTAGCATGCACACAGGAGCAAATCTGGCAGCAACATCAGTACAGGTGAAGCTATGGGGAAGCATTAGTTATTCTACTGTAAAATATTTAACATAAGCTTAACTATTGGAATGGATAGCTTAGTGAGCACTGGCATTCTCTGTCACAAGTGCTCTTGAGTTTAACTAGGAATCCTTCTGTGGCTGACCTTTCAGCTGCAGTGATAAGGATTGCCTTTCACCAATTTAGGGGGGTGAACCAGCTGTGTCCTCTTCTTCCAGAGGCCCAATTCACACATTACGAAATCCTTGTGTTCTCTCATGTGTCCATCCCAGGTCCTGTTGATCAAATCTGCTCTTGGAATTTTGTACTTAATTCCCAGATACATGTGGACCCAATTCTGATTGAGACTGTAAAAGTTTACCAAAATATACTAAGGCACAGGGTTTTACCCTAACAGGGCAAACAAAAATCGCCCAACAGGAGACAGAGGGAGAAAGGTCTCTTTCCTGTTTTCTAAAAGAACAAAACAAAATTCTAAACAAAAAGACTTCAGTTAGAACTGCCACCAGGTCCCTTATTATGCAGTTGCCACCAACCCAGGAGAAAGGGAACCCAAAACTCCTGTCTGATTTTGGAACAAAACCTTAGCTTATCCAGCCTAACTGAAACATAAGGCATTAATACGAAGTTACCTTTCCCCAAAGACAAAGTTGCAGTTGATCAGCATACGTAGTAGTCACTTCTTAGCCTATCCAGGCATAAGTAAGCTGGAACACTATAGTTTGGGGTACTGAACTACTGGACCATACTAGGCTCAGCAGTCACAGCCCCAGTGAGGATTGCCACTGGTACTATTGACAAAGGTATGTCTCTAGCACCAGGCAACCAAAACCATAGCTGGAGTGGCACGGATTCTTATAGGAAACTGACCCCTCCTTGCGTTAGGCCCTTACCCAATGGCGGATCAGAAAGGTGATGTCAACCTTCCTAGGTTACCATGTAACCAGCACCCCATAATATCCCATGCCAACCCATAATATTACAGCAACAAGGAGGGAATCGAAAGCTATCTGCAGCATAACTCTAGACCCGCCTACATGCCGGTGTTGCAGGGTTAATTGGCTGGAATGTGCCTAATGGTCAGCATCCCAGTCTCCTTATCAGCCACAGCTGGGAGCAATTTCTCCCACAATATGTTATTTTCTCAAGAGAAGTTGGATGGACCAACTAGATACATGCAGCTCCCTGCACCAGCCTTCATAAAGCGCCAGACCGTGGATCAGTGAGGAGGGGAGTACTGGCTCTATCTACAGGCTGTGGGAAGGAGGCTGAAAACAGAAGGATGAATAACAGAACCTAGACCATTAGTTATACCAGAAATATGATGAATGACTGGCTTGTCCAGAGAACCTTAACAATAATACAGTTGGTTATATATGAGCAAGACAGTCTATAAGTCTCAAACAGTATTTCTAAATTTTTATATACCTGGGGGTATTCAACTTGTTCCATTTCTTCTAAGAGAACTTTTAGGGGCTGCAAGTACAAGTTAATATCATCGGCTTCCTTCAGTCCTGAATGAAAGCAAAGATATAAAGTGGGTGAATGAAGGAGAAGCTTCATCTTAATAATCCCAACAGCCATTGAACAATGGGATCCAATAGAATCTGCTAGTTATGATTGTAAGCAATAGGGTTATACCTGCAGATACATCCTTGAAAACATTCTTGAGTGCTGGCCAATAACAGCTCTTTGCCCTCTCCAAAATATCAGCAATCTTTTGTACTTGAGGGGCATACAGCTAGAAAAGAAAAGCATATATGTTCAAAACCATAACCGTAGCAACATACCTTCATTCCTATATAATTTTTAGCCAAGTCTGAAAATTACTATCATCATACCTGATCATTTATGCACTGCAGGTTAACCTGCCGACTGTACCAAAAATCAAACTCCACTTTGGGTAATGGGTTCAAACCATCTAAGAGAGGCTGTGCTGAGTCTTTGCTCAGGATGTCTCGGATCTGATGAGACCAGTCAATGATTATTGTTTCAATAGAATGTAATAAAGTACTGTCCACAGCTACAGAAAGACTGGAAAACCACAAAGAATAAGAATGTGGTGAAATGCAAACAGCTTTCATTTCTGATCAGTTGTGAAATAATAGTAAATGGATTTTTTAGCAAGTCACAAAACTAGATTCCTCGGCCCCATCAGCACTTTAATATGACCCATTTCTCTTCTTTACATTGCACAGTAATGTATTGACAAGACCTTTAGGTAGAAAAATCAAGGACTCTGCACTAAAACCCAAAGATCCTGCAATCAGCAAGCCCAGATTCTGTGATTAGATTCAGTTTTGTAAATTGGAATATCCATATGTACATGGATACACAGAGTGGTGTGCAGAATCCAGACATTTTCAGTTGATGGAAGTATTTGGGGATTGGTGGAAAGACGGGGGCAAACAGGAGAGATGAAAGGAGAAGGATGACTATGGAAGCATGCCAAAAATACATGCACTTCTCAACCTTCTCAATAATCTCTCTAGAGCCTTTAGGATTTTAATAAATGGGTCCTATATATGATGCCAACTCTTGTACAAAATACAAAATAACACTGGCATATGTTATTTAGAAGCACCCACCTGTCAAACATATCTGCTGCACTGTATAACATTTCGATGCGCTCTGGCAAAGGGAGCAGTGTTTTCCCTTTGATCTTTCCTCCCATCACAAACATCTCATTCTTTAGCCTGTGAGCCTGTCTTATAACATCTTCAGCTACCACTTGAGGCCACCCACCTAGGTTTTCACTCTTCATAAACAAGGAATAGAGTACCTAGAAGGAAAGGATCATTTTAAAGTTGCCACAGATATCTCTGTTTCATTTGTTACAGATCATGGGACCTGGATTACATCAGGATTAATAGCACTTTAAACTTTTCCTGAAGGATCCACTTGTTTCCAAAACAGCCCAATGCCTGAAACACCCTTATATGGGTAGGTTGAGTCTATATTCCTGTACTATACTTGCTGGTACATCATAGTTCTGCCAGTTGCTTCTGTGTTGCAAATCCACTTCATCAATGTACTCAGAACATCAGAACTGAGCAGAGACTGGATCCTCACCCAGTTGCCATGACTTGACAATAGGATTGCACTATTAGACATTGTTCTGCACTGCAGCCAATTGCTCTCATAGCTAGAGCTTTGCATAGAAAAGCCTTTATCTTGTGTAATTCATTGCCTTTTGACTTCACTGTTTACAATTTCTTATCTATACACATGTACCTTTATCTGCCATCTGAGGAGACCCAAGACCATGCTATGCCACAATGGATCTGTTAGTCTGTAAGGTGCCACAAGACTTCTTGTGTTTTCACTAGGATCCATTTACTAATATGTAACTGAAACCTTGCATTCTCTTTATCAAGCAACCTTCTTCACATTATTGAACCTTCAAATTTGTAAATATAGGAGACCCAACATTTGCATCTAAACAGGCACAAATGTTTCCACAGCCTAGCTGTAAGTGCATCTTACCTTTGAAGCATCGGTATATAATTAATTCCATCTGAAAAATAGTAAACTGAGGCTTTATTACTTCTGTGAAAAAACCCAACCCCTAATATTTAATGCGTGGAGCTGCGGTGGCTCAAGTGGTTAAGACACTGAACTGCAGGCTGTGGAAGGTCGGTAGTTCAGGAGTTCAAGACCCGAGTTGCCGCATGACGGAGTGAGCTCCCGTCTCTAGTTCCAGCTCCTGCCAACCTAGCAGTTTGAAAGCAAGAAATTGCAAGTAGATAAATAGGTACCACTTCAGTGGGAAGGTAACAGCGTTCCGTGCACCTTGGTGTTTAGTCATGCCGGCCACATGACCACAGAAACGTCTTCGGACAGTGCTGGCTCTTTGGCTTTGAAACGGAGATGAGCACCGCAACCCTAGAGTCGGATTCGACTGGCTTTCGAGTAAGGGAACCTTTACCTTTTTAATATTTAATGCAGGTAAGTAGACAATACAATACACAGGTAGCAAACCATGGGTCTAAAATATACTCCCTTTTAAAGTTTGTGTGAAGTTATCATTTTATAAATATGCTTTATGAAGATGTGCTGTAGTAATAAATTGCTGCAGAACTCAAATACTTAGGACTTGCTCTAGGAAATAAGATACCAATATGTAAATTAGGACCATAAAACCCCCTTTTTTTAAATCCTTTTTTCCTTTTTTTTTTTTTTAGAGGGACGTATTTATGGAGAATTCAGCCTTATCGACAAAGTGCTGCCGTAACACAGCATTATGATCTGGAGATTCCCTAATAATCTGGGGATCCTAAACTCTTTGTACAAACCATTACAAACCATATTTTGTCTCTAAGAGGTGCCTAGGCATTTTATCCTCATCACACCAGGGACTTAGGCTGTTATGCTTCGCGGAAGTGACTTGCTCAAAGCCATCTAGTGAGCTTTGCAGTTGAGAAGGGATTGGAATCTGGGTCTGCCTCTTCCATACCAACACTCTACAACAGTGAGTTACACTGGCATCACATAAGAAAAAAGAAGGATCTTTGTATAACTTCACAGCAGTTTGTCCTGAACTTTCATACAATATTGAGAACACTACTGGAGTGAGAACAAGAGGTAGAGTATGCCACAAACCCTCATCTGCAAATCAATATCCGTGTTTCTCTTAACAACCTTTTGGAAAGAGGGAAGTATTGAATAGTGATTGCTTAATGGAAATGGGAAGCTTACCTCTTCCACTACAGCCATCATCTGCTCTACAGGGGAAGGGCTGAGATCTCCTACTAAGAGTGCATCTTGGAAATTATCTTTAGTTATGTTTTCATGTTTCTTCTTCACAAAGTAAACCCCTTTATTCTTCAGCACTGATGGAAACCCAATGCAAGGGACTAGCTGTCCAGTAGGGTTGAGGGTGATCACCAGTGCCAACAGGTCTGGCTTCTCATAGAACTCGTTGAGCATGGCAAGGACATCCTCGCTTGTTGCAAACTTGGTCCATTTGTCAGGTTTCATACGGAGAGAGACAGTACAGCACTTCTCTATGAAGTCCAGGCGTTTATCAGTTGCCATCTTGATTCTTCAATGATTAACTACTTTGAAGACAAAATTGACAAGCTGAAAGTCTCTGTGCAAGTGACATATTTCTATATAATCAACATGTGGCTGGGGTGGGGGAAGGAAGTGAGCACATGAGCTGCCACCACTGCTTCCAGCCTCCACACTCTGAGCAAAACTTCATCACAGAGTCAATGTGCATACAGGGACCAGTGAGTGCTGCTGAAAAAGACAGAGTGGGTGTGTTCAGATGCGCCATTTGATCTGGTGTCGTGACAGTTCAGCAACAGATTTTATATGCACCATCACACAGTCAATATCTGCCTCCCGTCCCCAGCCATTTTTTTAGCGTTGGCAGTGTGCGCATAGGCGGAGCTCCGCTACCATGTCTAGAAAACTGACATTTAAATGGTCACTTGTTTTAGAGTTTAGATGAGTTTGGGATCTCACGGAGGCCATTTTCGGGTCAAACGTTTAAAGGGAAGTCTTTTGTTGGAGGGGTTGGATTGATTCGCCCTGGTGGTTCTGCACATGTGCCATGGTAGTTTCGCCCCCCCCATTCTACGGATGAGTGCCTATGCGCATGCGCAAACTGAGAAAAAATTTAAAAACCCAGTGGAAACGGCGGGGAGCGCTGCGACTGCGTGGTGAGGTGGGATAAGGGAGGTAAGTGTGATCACGATTATTATCAAATATAATCCGGTCAGAACCGGAGCAGTTTAACCTGCTCTCGGCATGCCGTCTGACCGCCCCCAGTGACTCAGTTGGAGGACAATTTTTTTTGCCTTCCAACTGGCCAGAGGTATATGAAAAGTTTATGCACACCACTGAGTCATTTGGGAAATAATGAAAGAAGACAAATGGTCTTTAAATGGATGTGAGGGGTGGCTCCCTAGGCAGGCCATACCCTCTCAGTTTTGAATATTTGAACCCAGTGGCTTCTCCCCTAGGTGAGGGGGGGCACAGGATGTGGGGAAAGAGATAATGATTTCCTCCCCCCTTGTACTTTGCCAGTCAAATTCACAGCCCCCTCTTTCTGCTGGTGCACTGAAACAGAAAAAACACCTTTCAGGGAAAATATACTGAATATTTTTTCCCTTTAAGTGATTGGGGATGGGGATTTTGATTGGGAAAATGGCTTTTAGGGAAATGGCTAAGTGTATTTGCCTGCACAATTTGGAACCCACCAAAAGTTTCATTACAGTACCTACTAAAACTGTCAGGAGATATCCCACTAGTATCCAGTATTACATCTAGCTTGGCCCTAATGCATAAGTTTTAGAAGATTCTGAGACTGCAGCTTACTGTTTTAATTTAACAAAAATACTTACTTAGCTTGTCTCACAGCTCAGGGCAAGCACAATAAAGGACAAAACAACCTTTTTGTTTGACCACAGTGTCAACTGAAGCTTTCCCCAACTGCCAAGAGACAAGATTCTTTGAGCAGATTCTAGTGACATCATTTATCAACTGTCATGATGTGCTAGAACCTTCCATGTAGACCATGTAATTTGTATTGAAGTCTGTGAAGTAGAAACCTATGATGCTTAAGCATAGTATTAATGGCTGGCTTTGTGTGGAATTACCACATTGTTTAGCTTTTGAATATCAAGGCTCTTGGGTTTAAATTATGAGGATACAAGACTTCTGAATGACACATTGATTTTTTTTTTAGGAAAGAACAGTAAATCCCCAACTGTCTGTCAGGGGAGCTGTTAAACATCCTCTTCAGATGCTACTTCATTCTTTCTTTAGAAAATCTCTATGCTGCCTCTCCAGAGAAACTGCTTTAAATTTACTTATCATGTAATCCTATGCAATCTTTTCCCATTGATTTCAATGGGATTAGCCCCCCAGACAATTCTGCATAGGATAGCCCTCTAAGTGTACTAAAATTTATATCTCCCCAAACTGTTACACTGTATATTTAATCTGAGTTCACCCCAGCTTCCTGTTTTCTTGCTTTTTGCAGTCCCTATTGCTTTGGTGTTCTTACTAACACACTAACCATTCCCTAGGAGCTGCGGTGGCTCAAGTGATTAAGACGCTGAACTGCAGGCTGTGGAAGGTCGGTAGTTCAGCAGTTCGAGACCCGACTGTGCCACATGACGGAGTGAGCTCCCGTCTCTAGTTCCAGCTCCTGCCAACCTAGCAGTTCGAAAGCAAGAAATTGCAAGTAGAGAAATAGGTACCACTTCAGTGGGAAGGTAACAGCGTTCCGTGCGCCTCGGTGTTTAGTCATGCCGGCCACATGACCACGGAAACATCTTCGGACAGCGCTGGCTCTTCGGCTTTGAAACGGAGATGAGCACCGCAACCCTAGAGTTGGAGTCGACTGGCTTTTGAGCAAGGGAACCTTTACCTTTACCTAACCATTCCCTGCAGCTCTTAATGTGGAACGCAGTTGTATCTGTTGGTGTTGGTCCTTATTGTGGGATATATCAATTATTTTGTCTCACAATAGGGATACAGCAATTCTTAGCAGCAAAATACTTCAGGTGCAATGCAAACCCTTTTGCTATTCCTATAGCCTGGAAGTTGTTAACTTCATTTATAGCTCACCTTTTTCACTGAGACTGAAAGCAGAGTACAAAGTATGACAAGCAATTCAGTCAGATAGCAGACACCTCCAATAAACAATGCAGTAGGACTAGGATCACTGAACAGGAAAACCAAAGCAAAAGAAAACTGGTCTAAGGCATGGCATACCATAATGAAGAAGGAGGGTTAGAAAGGTGTGGGCCTTGCAATAAAAAAAGTGATCTGTACAACAAGAGTGCAATAGACTACATTACTATCCTTTATAGAAGCAATCTCCTGTGCTGTTCTGTTATATTACCCTTTCTAGTCCCTTTGTAAAAATGCCTTCTTGAACATTTCTGTTTTACATGTTCTGTGTAATGCTAGAAGCATGGGGGCCTTCTTGACCGCCTCAGGCAGGCTGTTCCAGAAGGCCATCCCAGAGAATGTATGTGAGCAATCCGTTGCCATTTGCCAGGTGGCACCTTCAGAAGGCTTAGCTTAGAAGGGTGAAGTGTCATGGGATGAGATAGCAGGAGAGGGAGCCCTGCAAGTATGTTGATCCAAGGTCTTTGTAGGTGATAACCAGAACCTTTAACCGAACCCAGTAACTGAATGGTAACCAATGGAGTGTCTGCAGAATTTAACTGAGTGAGCATCAGCTGGATCCCATCAAAACTGGGAAGCACAATGTCCTTCAGAACTTCCAGCTTCCCAATCAACATTTCATGAAGCAGCTCTTGATGCATACCAAAGACTGTATAAGGATATGTCAGTCAAATTAATGTATTATTTGCAAATGGTAATGGACACTGTAAAACCAAGTTTGAACATGGATTTACTGTTTGCATTGCAGCTTGCTGTAGGACAGAGTAATGAGAAAAGGCTAGAGGCAGCTTACAATTCAAAACCACAGTATTAAAACACAAGCCATTAGACATAGCAGCATAAAAACTGACCACAAAACAGATGCAGACCATAAAAAGATGATGATAAAACCCATTTAAAAGCCTAAGTAAAAAAATGCCTTCTATAGTCACCACCCGCCTCACTTCTGAAGGCAGGGGCACAGAGAGCAGGATTGAGAGGCAGATCTTAACTGGTGGGGTGGATAGTATAGGAAGGAAAAGTATTTCAGGTACCCTGGGCCCAACCCATTTAGGGCTGTAAAGGTGAGAATCATGTTACCCTGCAAGGCACCTATAGCGCTCCTATGGACATGGTTCATAAGTAATAAAACTTGGACTGTACCAGTAGTGTGCAGAAGGGACCAAACTGTGCCAGTAGTGTGCAGAAGGGACCAAACTGTGTGGTGACCCAATAGTGATGCCAGTTACAGACACACGCCCAGAAGAAGGAAGCCTTCCTGTGAGATGATGTGCCTATGGTTCCAGAGGTTAACTACCCTCTTACATGCTGTAAAATGGACCAGCTCCCCAGCCACATGAAGCACTGAATGCCAGACAGATGCCATGCCAAGGCAGAAGACCTAAAAACAAAGGATTCAAACTCCATGCGGAGTTTCCTTCCTTGCACGCAGGCAACGTTCCCTCCCCCACCCAGCCTCACCTCGCTGAAGCTGCAGCCATAAGACAATCAAGGAGATATCAATAACAATGACTCTGGCCACATGAGTCATCATCCCTCCAGGTGCCACTGTCTCACACAGGATTACTAGATCTGAATATTGACCACCCCCCTTAGACCCTTCCCCCTTGAATCCTGGTCCAATCAGTATGTTTTTGGGAACGGACTCACAGGATGTGTGCCAAGGGATGTGGCCAGCCTAGCCCACCCCCCAAGCCCCCCTTATAAAAAGAGATGCACCCTGCCATCTCTCTCTCTCTCCTGACCTAAACCCACCCCACGACTCTCGGTTAGTGCTGTCAGAGTCTCCACATATTTCTGTTGGTCCAGGATACGACCCTAAAACCCCATAGTCTCCCTTATTTTTCCTAAGGATCGCTTTATCCCGCTGAGGACAGGTAAAGTATTATCCCTCAACGATCATCTTGCTAATGCGAATGTGCTATCCTCCTCTCTCTAATTTTCCTAGAACTGTATAACTGTGAGTGTGGTTGAATTATTGTATGGGTGCGTTCAGACGGGCCATTTGAGCCGGTATACGTGCCGGTTAGAAACAGACTATTTACGCGCGATCACACAGTCAACATCTGCCTCCCGTCCCCAGCCGTCGTTTTCCAGCGCAACCCTCCTATAAAGTGGAGTATTTTGATACCAGGTCCCCAAGTGGTGTTTTCCTGCTTCTCCAGTTCCAGCCACATTTTCCCCGTGTAATCGCTCCTCCGCCAGTGTAGAGCCACTTCCTGTTCCCTGCTCAAAAGCTGCCCGAGGCTTCCACTTTTTGCCTGACATTTTTTTAAAAGCGTTGGCGATATGCGCTTGGGCGGAGCTTCGCCCTGGCGTTAGTAAAAACAAAGTTTAATTGGTGCCTAGTTTTGCCGTGTATACGAGTTCGGGATCTCACAGAGGCC